GCTGCAAGTTTGGACCGCTGCCTAAGGAGGGCATCCAAATTTGTAAGTGACCCAGGGTCCGTTCTGCAGAGGACCATCGACTACACCGCTGAGGTAAGACTGGTGTCTCCATTTTTGCTCAATTTACCTAACAGGTAGCTCGGTCTAATTTTCTTCTTTGTGTTTTTCCTCAGGCGTTTGTTGCTTCCATTCAATCGGCTCTGGCTGTAAAGGCCGAGCTGGATGGGAGGGAAGTTCTGGCAGCGAGGGAGAAAGAGGAGTTCTCTGCTGCCTTGGAGTCTGCTTCCTCCACCATGAAGGATGAGCTGCTGAAGGCTCACTCTGAGGTGGAAATTTTGAAGGCCGAGGTGGAGACCAAGGCCGAGCTGTTGAAGAAGGAAGAGGACAGACGCAAGGCCGAGCTCCGAGCTGCCCATGCTATCACCAGGGGCTTGGAGAAGGAGAAGTTCCAACTCTTCAAGGAGAAGGACGACATGCTCCAGGCGCTTGAAGCGAAGGAGGAGGAGCTGAAGCATGCGACTGCCGAGCTGGAGACGGTGAAGGAGCGTCTCAGCAATGGATTTGCCAAAGACTTCTCTGACGCGGGCTTCAAGTTTCTCATGAAGGGCATTGCTTCCGACATGCCTGACCTTCAGATCGATCTCGGTGGTCTGAAGAAGAGATATGCTGAGCAGTGGGCGTCTGGGCCTAGCGGCACCCCTGGCCCCCAAGCGTTGGTGGATAAGTACGTCAGAGATCTGGACTCTGACTACTCCGACCTCGAAGAGGATCAAGTCGGCACCACTCAAGAGGGCACTCCTCAAGCAGGCTCTTAGGCGACCACCCTTCAAGAGGCTTTTCGCTGTCTTTCTTCTCTTCTCTTTTTTTTTGTTTGTAAGTGTCAGGGCAGAGCTGCAAGGTCTATAAGCCTTGGCTCTGCTCTCCCTTTAATGAAGAAGCTTTGTTCGTTTTTATTTTGGTGTTGGCAACATCTTTCCTTTCTTTGCTTTTTCTCTAAACTTCAGCCAATGTCACCTCGCACCTCTTACTTATGAGGTCGCGCCTTCAATTAAAATAATTGAAAGTTTGAATTTGAATCTCTGTCTAGTGTTCAATGCATTGCACCAACTCTGGATTTTTTAACATCGCACCCTTAACTTAAAAACGTTAAAAGGCTGAAATCCTAAGTCCGTAGCTGTTCTTCATATCGTACATCGTACCCTCAGGTTTAGAGGCTTGATCATTTTGAACTTTTCACATCGTCCCTTTACCTTGAAGGTTTGAATTTTAAGTTCATCAGTGGTTTTGGCATCGTACCTCGTACCCTTAGGTTTTGGAGGATTGAATTTTAACCGACTGCTGGAATGTGATCGTGTGGGAGTCCGTGGCCCCCATTTAATTTATGGTCGAACTCAGAATCATGAAATTAAATCATCACATTTATTCCGATCATAATTCTTTTGGAACAGTTTTTACAGATCCATTGAAAACCCTTTTGGCATTTCAGGGATAATAACGCTTCAGGTGCTCCGCGTTCCACGGGTGCGCGAGGACGTCTCCTTTCAGATCGGCCAATATGTACGTCCCAGGTCAGACTATGCCCTTGACCTCAAACGGCCCCTCCCAGGTCGGGTCAAGGGCACCCACATGGGTTTGGACCCTCCTTAAGACCAGATGTCCGACCTGGAAGGTCTGAGGTCGAACGCGGACGTTGTAATGCCTGGCCATTCTGCCCTGATATTCCGCCAGGCGTAGCTGGGCCATTGCTCTTCTTTCTTCCAACAAGTCGAGGTTGAGGAGCAGCTCTTCCTCATTTGCTGTAGGCTCGTAATGCTCTACTCTGTCAGATGGCATGCCGATATCAACCGGGACTACAGCTTCGGAGCCGAAGGCCAGGGAGAACGGGGTCTCACCCGTCGATTCTCTTTGGGTGGTCCGGTACGACCATAGAACCTCTGGTAGCTCCTCGACCCACCTGCCTTTTTTGGAGGTCAGTCTAAGTTTGATGCCTCGCTTGATGATCTTGTTCACTGCCTCCACCTGCCCATTTGCTTGCGGATGTGCGGGGGACGAGCTAAGGTGACTTATGCCAAGCTTGCTGCAAAA